TTTGGAGACAGACAGTTGACATGTCATTCGTGTTAGAAATAGCATTCAACAAGATATGTATCATTTTGTCTCTATGTATACAAGCAATATTATATTCTGTATTCCCTGAATTGAAGGACATTACTCATTTTGATGTTTCCATGTAAATACAATTTCACTTAAACATGCTGGGACCAGAAACAAACATGCAGCTGAAAAGATAAGATTTGAAAGAACAATATCCATATATCATTACAAATATATTTTTTGTACATCTGTATATTCCTTTATAAATTTATGTATGAATAATTTATGTGTGTTCAAATGAAGGACAAAGTGTTTCCCACATTTGGCTCTGGTAGGCTGACTTTTATGTGTGAAAACTGGACAAATATAAAGATTGATTATTGGCCTCACATCTGAGGAAGCTCAAGAGTGTAATATTTTCTTCCAGAGTCCTCTTTAGGCTTGTATTTAGTAAATGAGCTTCAGATCTTCCTGTTCAATGCTATACTAGCATAGGAGGAGGAGTTTTGGCTCATCAAGTACTGCCCAGCAAACTGAGAAGTGAGCGTAGCACATCTCCACCTAAGTGCTGTGTTAGGACAGGGACGTGATGGGGAGCTGATCCCCATCTGCTGGCATCCAAGAGCCACCTGAATAGACTGAATCTTGCTTCTCTTGTATCTAACTCTTTCCTTCATGTAGAAATGAAGAGGCAAGGGTGTGGGCTGAGATCTAGTGTGAACCAAGGTCCTGCCCCTGCATGGGGAGAAGAGCCTGCAGGACCAAAGAGCACAGGAGTTCCCGAGTCTGTCACTGAAGAAGTACTCCACGTAGCTAATTTAGCTGAAAATTTAGTTTGGCTTCCTCTTTACATTCTTAATGCCTTTCTGTGTATGAGGGAGAAATCTCTGCATAACTGGTGACTTCTATTATGTGACTTTTACAAGTGCTCTTTGATTTTGCATGTGACTCGTTTTTCACGTGTCCACTGCTTTTTCCAACAACAATGTTGTTATGTTTAGAGTTACAGAAAAAACATGTAGACCATCATGCTAGAGAAATTCTGGTGATTGTGCACTTAATGACTGCTTACCACTTGAGTTTAGAGTCAAAGTTACACAAGCAATTTTATCATCAAAAGTTTCTGGGTTTGAACACTTTGTCTTGTTGTGAGGTGGCCTCTCATGTGGGATTAAATTTACCGACTGCCAAAATGCTAAGCCTGAAAGAGAAGGATGCCATTTTTCTTTTTTTCATTCTCTAAGTCAGTTTATCCAGATCAGAATTCTGGGAATATTAAAAAAATAACAGTTACTTTGTTACAGTTCTGTATATATGTGGAAATGTGGAGTTGTTGCAGTTGATTTTTTTTTTTTGGGTGTTGTTTTATTTGGCTTTGTTAATGGTGAGCTGCCAATGAAATTATTAAAATTCCATCCACTTCAGCACAATCTGGATAAACATAGGCCTTCAGAAGGCCAGGGCTCTTTTAATTTTAATCTGACATATTTTCAGTCTTCATTCAGTGTCTTCATTATCTTTTTTACACTCTGATCTGCTTTATTGGGGTCTGCTCCATTAAGATGATCCAAAATGCTTGATGCTTCCCTGGCTAATGACAGGGGTAGATGGTCTTGTCTCCTGTACCCAGTCCATGGTTTCCCTGGTTTCCCTGTTGTTTGTCAGAGATCAGGTGAATTGTAGATTGGCTATTTTTGTGAAAATGCATTCACCTTTAACTCTTTGAAATGGGGTTAATTTTTTGAGGGTAATGTAATTGTGAGTTGCCAAACAGGCTTCAGGAATAAGGGATAGACTCCCAAGGAAAATGCAGCTAATTTGAAGTGGTTTGGGGGCTTTCATCAAAAAGCTTTGGCAAAGCTTCTTGTGTGTTTTGGGTAGGTAAACATCAAAATTTGCCTTATCCCATTGCTAAAATAAATGTAACTGCAGACATGAGCTGTGGATATCTAGAGAAACAAAACTTGCTTTAATCAAGGAAAAGAGAAGGAAAGAGGTCACTGGGACTATCACTAAACCTGTAAAATTTTTCTGGAAAATACAGACAAATGTGTGAATCATTTACATCTGTAATTTCATTAAAATTACAATAAATTAGAAAACCAAGAATTATTCATTTGTCTTTTATACTCAGGTGCTTTTGGAATTCTCCAAGTTTATTATTTGGTCTTTTATGAGAACTTCACAAATGCTAAGGATGTCATATGCTGTTTATTATCTGAGTTATAACCCTTTGTCTCTTGACTGGGTCTTCAGTTATGTTTTTATTAGTAGACCTTTAAATCATATTTGGGTTTCCAGTTTGATTTTCATCACTGATTTTAAATGTGTATTTAATTTAGTAAGTGAGGGGCTTAAAACTTTTTGGATTATATTTCAGAGTTATTTTTCTTGCAAGATGATTTGTATTGAATGATAGCTGTTTCATGTGTTGAGTGTCAATGGCAATATAATCTCTTCCTTAATTTAGTACTTCTTTTGCTGTTCAGACTGACAAATTGCATACATACTCTTTGTTAAAAATGGTGAATAATATATATAGCATGTGGTCATGTTTTATTTGTGATGATGTCTTGGAATTCGGTTTGTGAGGCAGAAAATCACTATTATAGAATTGGTTAAATAAAACTGATTATATAGAAGAAGTGGAAAATGTGTGAAAACACATTGTTATTGAACTTGAGGGAATTATCAGAAAATCAATTAACCAGCAGTCTGTGTGCATTAAAATGATCCATTTAATTTGGATCAGGTGTGTGTATTTTGAACCACTGTTGGTGATCTGCCCTCATGGAGCTTGACTGGGTTCACATCCTGGAGCAGCCCTAGAGAATGTGGGTACAATTGTTTTTAGATGAAATTAGACTGCCAAATGCACCAGTGTGTGCTCAGCCTAGATCAGGTACTCAGGATTTTTGAAGAAGCAAACTGTGCTTTGCCTCTACATCTGAGGGCAGCTTGTTAGGTATCTTGGATGTCATCTGTAGGTAGGAATGTGAAGGTGTCTGAACAGACTGGTTTTGGTCTCCATTTCTTTTTTGGAGCTGTGTCAGCCTCTTTCTTTCTGCCAAGTATGTATAGGTTGGAAGTAAGGACTTTTCCCCTTCCAAATCAGTTCTCCAAGCTTTAAGGAAACCTGTTCTCTTGAACTGGGCTGAACTAAAGAAAATGTTCTTTATTATTCACAAAAAACTTTGTGATTAGAAGTTTGTTTCCCTGTTGAGTATTTACTTCCTTGTAAACTTCATCACTAGCTATTTACTCTTCAAATTGAATATAAATTCTTTAATACAATAAGAAAACTTAAGTTTATAGTAATGAAATTTTTACATTCTGAAAGTTTATTTTTTGGAGATATTTTCTGAGTGTTAAATATGTTATACACTCTCTGCAGCTGAGTTATGATGACTTATGTGATGTTTTAAAGGGAGAGATCTCTACAGAAATAGTTATCTATTTTGTCAGTCACTGATACTTCTATTCTCCAAAATCCTTGAATGCAAAATATCCCTGGCCCCCATTATTTCTGCTCTTTCTCATCTTCATCTATCAACAGTATATTTCAGAAAGAGTAAGTATCAATGTTACTTTGCTAATGTCCTTCCACTATAAATATAGAATACAGATGCAAAGAATTCAGGCATCTTTTGTGTATTTTCCTTACTTTCTTGTTTTCCCTTCTTGTACCTGTTTTGTTTGCTGTTATTTCAGAGCGGCTCTTCCAGAACACAGGTAGGAGCACCCTAGGCAGGTCAAGGGAGATGCTTCTTCCCCTCTACTCTGCTCTTGTGAAACCCCACCTGGAGTGCTGCATCAGCTCTCAGGCCCCCTAAATAAGATGGATGTGGATCTGTTGGAATGGGTCCATAGAAGGGCCATGAAAATGATCAAAAGACTGGACTGCCTCTCCTGTGAGAACAGGCTGGGAAAAGAAGGCTCCAGGGAGATCTTACAACTCCTTCCAGTACCTGAAGGTGATAGGACAAGGGTGAGTGGCTTTAAAGCAAAAGGGGATAGGCTTGGGTTAAATTTTAGGAAGGAATTCCTCACTGTGAGAGTGATGAGGTGCTAGAACAAGTCATCCCGCAAAGCTGTGGGTACCCTCTTCCTGGGAGGGTTTGAGGCCAGGTTGAATGAGACTTGGAGCAACTTGTTCTAGTGAAAGGTGTCCCTGCCTATGGTAGTGGGTAGCATGATCTTTAAGGTCCTTCCACCCCAAACCAGTCCATGATTCTGTATTTCTAAGATGTGGTCTTGGAGAAAATGAACGCTGCTCATACATCAGCAGTGATGTAAGCACAGAAGTGGCAGGGATGGGTGGGAAGAAAAATCATGCTCTGCTGCCTCCCGGTGACCAGTTGTATCAGGGTGGATGTCCTATATACTCAGGGCTGTGTCCTCCTGAGACAGCTGGCACTGGGCTGTGACAAATAGAGCAAAGGAGCAGTTCATCTGTGTGCTGGGAAGCAAGAAGCATTTCTGTGGCTGTGGCCCACTGCTCTGTCCTTAGGACATTTTCAGAACTGGCCCTGTGGGCTTGCTGCAGTTGAGGCTAAATACACAAAGTATTGCCATATAGTATCACCCATACACAGTAACTATACTACATGAATGCTGGGAAGCAAGAAGCATTTCTGTGGCTGTGGCCCACTGCTCTGTCCTTAGGACATTTTCAGAACTAGCCCTGTGGGCTTGCTGCAGTTGAGGCTACAATACACAAAGTATTGCCATAGAGTATCACCCATACACAGTAACACCATACTACATGAGGTTTCAAGTACATACCCATGCAGAATAGCATCATATCACTTCCGAAGGTTGTACATGCTCTCCTTGTTTGTCAGCCCACCCTTTTATACCCTCATTGTTCATGCATTGCACCTGTGTGCCCTCTGTTCCCTTTGGTGATTGGTCAGTGCACCTGGGCATGCCATGGCTCATTGCTTTCAATGCTGGTCACCTGCTTTTCTCAGTGTCCCCATTGGGGATGGGGCTCCTCTGCAGCCTCACTCCCACTTACCACAAATCATGTACCTACGTGGGCTAGGAGGGGCTGCAGTGAGGGGACAAGCAGTTTTGGATTTGTGGCTTTGTCCTTTGCATAACTGAGTGTGAGCCCCAGCCTGGACCTGGCCAAGCAGGAAGGGTATGTACAACTTTGTGTAGTATCCACATATCCCATGAGAGCACAGACTATGTGCCCAGTGGAATGCAAGTCAATGAACTCATCGTCCTTGTGCTCACCTGGCACAGGGTTGCAGTTGTCTGTACATGCAACAACTGAAAGTGGAGGAAAAAATTCCCCTGTTGCTTTTGGACTGCCTAGGTCCAAGGTAAGCACTGATACTGAAAAAGAGGACTGTTTTTTTGTTCAAAGTGAGATCTTTGCAAAATCTGTGCTTTTTCCTACTAAGGAAAGTAGTCGATTCCTTTTAGTGTTTCTTTCTTCTAGATAATGAATATACTTGAACAATGCATTAGGCATCACAGCTCTTTTGAGTAGGGAGTACTGTCAACTCTTGGCTTATTTTCTCATGTAGTTTGGTCCCCAGTTTGACTACAGGAGCAAAATTTCACAATGTGTGCACAGAGTTTTATGTCCATTCTCTACAAAGCTCTCCTTTGGCATATTTTGTGCTGTCATTTGATACTGCAGTTTTATATTCTTCCCTTCCTTTCCTACCCTGCCCCTACTGTGGTTTTCATATCTGTTGAAGTGGCTTTATGGCTATTTGCAGTTATTTACCTTTTTCACAACTCTAGTTCAGTATGGTTTATATTTTCTTCCAGATTGTTACATTACACTTTGAGGTCATTGATCTCTACATTCTCTGCCCAGAGAGATTGTGAAGAATCAGACCTCGATGGTCTCCTGGAATTTTCTTTAGCAGAGTCCAAGGTCATGAGGCTGAATGCATTGTTTGAATATTCATCCAGCAGGACCTTTGGATATGCAGTGACTGAACTCAGCTGAGCACTGCTGCTTGCAATGATCAGTCTTTGTTTATTTAACCCAGGCTGTACTTTAAAGAGGTTTTGGTTACAGGCATATTTGGAGTCCTATATAGATCACAGCACTACCAATGTCCTTATATTATCTCTCAGAATCTTTATTGTTGAGAGGGAGGCTCTATTCTTTTCACATGGTTATGTAATTAATGAGTTACTCTAACTTCTTCTTAGATCATATTATTCAGGGATATTTTTAAAGTTACAAGGTCATCATTTCAGAAAAAAAGTGAGGCTGTATTTTATAGCTGAGGGAGTAAGATGCCTGCATTACCAGTTCGAGTAGAATTTAAGTTCAGCTAAAAACATCTGTACTTCTTTTGGTTTCAGGAGAACCTCTCCTCCAAATGTGCTGAGCTAAAAGCTCTTTTCCAGATTTTGCCATTAGACAGCTCCAGAACTTGCCAGTTCACAAACTTTGCCAAACTTCAGACAAGTGATTCTGATAACATTTTAGGCAGTTTCCCTGTGGCTATTTCAATCCTTGGGACAGAAAGGAAAATGGCAAAAGTCACATGTGCTTCCACTTAAATTTCTTCTGGATGACAAGAATAGTTATAAAAGCTAGTTCATGAATATTCATAGGGAAGGAGAAATAGAAACACTAAAAACTCGAGTAGAGGACTGGAGGTGCAGGCTTAGGATGCCTTCATCTTAGACCCAAACTCTGAGGAAATCCTGGTGGGGAGCGTGGGATCATCTAGAGGGAGGGAGGTAGATTTTGGGTGTTTCCAGGGAGATTTATTGTAGGACATATTGGGAACACTCATTTCACCTTTCATACATATTAAAAGGTTGTTTCTTTAAAAATGATACATAAAGGAAAGAAATCTGCCAGACCTGCAGTGTTCAGCACTTCAGTCTCTTAGGGACTTTCAAAAGACACGTGCTCAAAACAGGTTTGGTGCTTGTCTGTAGGTCTGTGGGTTGCTGTGTCTGTAGGTGCAAACCTGTGACACTTTGTGATGCCAGACAAAGAAATAGAGTTTTGTGTCCTGCTTGTGATCCCATTGCCTCTCCAGCTTCCTGAGATGGAGAAGTCCCCATCCAGCTGCTCACAGGCTGCTCCTTCCTGCACAGCAATGCTCCAGGTGAGCAGCACAGCCACTTCTGGGATCCACATTGTGTTAAGTCTCAGTTGTCCAGGCTAGCTCCCAGTACTGCGCTCTCTCAGTGCAGCTGAAAAGGTGCTGGAATTCTCTTGGATCTCTTGGGGGCAGCTGTGCCAGCAGTCCAGGGCAGGTGTTAATCTCCAGTGAAGGGAGATGACAGGCACTGGGGCAAGCCAAGGGCTGTAAGCTTTGCAGTCAGCACAGCTAGCATGGCAGAGCGACACGTGGCCAAATACCTCATCTCTGGGAAGGCACTTAATACCACTATGCTTTTATTTATCATTATACATACCAAATATGTTATCTTTAATTTATTCAGTGAGAGCTTTTTGTAGTGGAGATAAAACTCATTGATTTCAGGTCAGTTTTGCAATATCCATCCGTTCTGTGTGGGATATAAAGATCATTTTGCAGTAGGAATAGTTATAATATAAATGTCTGCTCCACTGAAGCCATTTGGAACATTTTGAATGGTTATGGCAAAAAGCATCAGGAAATGCACTATTTGGATATCACTATAAGTTAGTGCATGCTGCTCAAGGAGCTCTGCACTAGTCAGACCTTATGCTGTGGAAGCAGTCGTTCTGTCACTGGCTGTGCCTAATGCTCAGTGCTGTAGAAGCAGATGAAAAATCTACAATGCAAGTGTGTGTGCCTGTGTGAATACAATTACAGGAGGAATTCATCTGCAGTAACTTCAAAGAGCACTCTCCAGCAGGCAGAAAATCACAGTTTAACACATGGAGTCTTCTGTCCCAAGACATTTGTCCGTGTTGCCTTGCAGGGCACAGTTTGTCTTCTTCAGCATATGAAGTACAAATGATGCAACCCCACTTTCAAATACTCAGCCGAGACACACAGCCCTGAGAAACACTCGTTATTCCTTGGCTTCACTCTTCCTTTTATTTCTTATTTATTCAAACAGATTACATTCCCATTTGGATAGGATTAGCTGTGGTTTCAAAGTATTGCTGCGGTTTGTCCTGTGAACATGAGTGTAGTATTTAGCTGAGTGAGGTCTGTTTCATGACCTGAAACCTCTTGGACAGAGCACACAAGAGTGTCAGCATTTGAATCTAACTAGATTTCCTGTTTTATAAAGGCATGAGGCACATTTGGGGACCTCTTAGGAACTTTCCCATGGGGTAGAACACAGCATTTGGGGGTTTCTTCATAGCTTTTAATAGGAAATGTGGGAATCTTTTCCCTCCTTTGCTGTTAAGCTTCTGATTAACATTTACGATTGTATTCAGAACAAGGTAAAATGGTAGTGCTCAACATTTTCATATGATGGGGCGCACAAAGCATCTTGCAGAGTGACCTGCCTGTGTATGCATGTCCCCATTGTGGTCCCATCCCCATATACCTAATGAAACCTGTATACAGCTGTTTTGTAACAGTCAACAAAGTGACTTTGTCTTCAAACAATTCCGTTTTTAGGATCAAAAATAACCAGATAAGTGCAATAAGTGTGATTTATATTTGTGCGATTTAGTATGGCAGTCCCAATTTTATTAGGCTTATGCAGTTTGTCTTCTAAATTAATTTTTCAAAATGCAAAGCAGGGCATTTAATCTGCTCTGAATAGCTGTGTTGCTCCTATGAACATGAAATATTTTTCCTAATTTCATTTAGTAGTTTTATTTTGGATACAAGTAATTTTGTTAGTGTTGGAAACCCATGCACTGTAACATAGCTCTGATGTTGAAGAACTGAAACTCTTATTGACTGGCCTTGTCTCTCTGAAGGCAGAGTGCAATGTAAACAAGAAAACATGAGCCATAAATGGTGAAAAGCTTACTTTTTGGATTTTAACCTCCTGAGCTAGACTACTGAAAACTGGTGCTGGGAACTAGCCTCAGCATGAACGCACACTGTTATTTTCATAGGAAACATACAGGTTTTTATTTTCTGTAATGAAGGTATTACTAAAGCACAGTGTAACTGTTTTATGCTAAGTATGTGTTTCTTAGCACAAATTAAATTGTTCCTTGGCTCAAATTGAAGTAAGAATTTATTTATATTAACATTAACAGGGTGCAAACTAAACTAAGCTCAGTGGCAGTCTCTTCCTTGCTCATTCACCCCTGGGGAAGTACTTTCAGCATCCCAAGGGAAATTTGTGTCCATCTCAGGCCATCCTTCTGCTGAGGGGGACTTGCTGTACCTGCACTGCTGTTCTGAGGTCGATGACATGTTGGTGCAGGTTGATAGCACTAGGCAGGAGGTGAAGCATAATCCTCACATTAACTTAAGTGGCTTTAACAAAGGACCTCTGAGAACCTTACCTTCAGGAAAGACATGATTACCTGTAAAGGGTCTGTGTTTGAGGAAGAAAGTTTCTAAACTTCTTAAGCATAGTCTCAGAAAGAATAGGAGGTTTTCTCGCCACTTTGGTTTATGAAGCAGCAGTCACAGATATACCACAAGATGATAGGTTATAAACCTGGATTGCAGCTGTGAATTTTAAGTTATGTGAACTCAGGCACAGTCAGTTCTTTTCCTGACTATGTTTGCTTAAATGAAGTCTAAGACACAGCTTGAAAATTTAAGAGTACCCAAATATCTACAGCCTTAAATGGGAAATCTGTGTACCTAGTTACAGTGCTTTGTACTGTACCAATCCAGTATGTTTTTGATGTCCCAAATAAGTCTGTATCTCTTTGTTTTAATTAATGAGCTCTGAAGAAACTTGTGGCTAGTGTTACCTGCAATGACTGGTGCAGAATTCAGCATCAGGAATGTGAAAACTCTGGTCTGGTGTCTTCTTTTAGCATTTCTGTCCAGTTTTGCTTTTCTGCCCATAGCCAAATATCCTTTCTGCCCATAGGCATCCCTTCAGGATCTTCCTTGTGGTGGAGACTGCTCTTACCAGCTGTATCCCATCAGGTCCTGATGTTGCTGCTCTATAAATGTTAGTCACCTTGGATGGTCCTCTGTACCTGATGTAAAGCTGTCAGTAGTCAGAGAGAAACTTCAGTGAACTTTGTGTCAGACCTTTTCCCAGTAGCTGAAGCTACACCAAAGAACTTGCATTCTCACTAGAAATTGGAGCAATCTCAAAACCCTCCAATGTTCACAACAGATTGCAGCTTCCATGGTATAGCCTATCTCATCCTGAGTAACACTGAGAACCAGAGCTTACTGCTTCTCCAAACTGAACCTAGAAGAGGAGAATCAGTTCTTTGTTTCTGTTTTTATACCCCAATGAA